ATAGGTTTTGCTTCTCTGATAGAAAAGCTACTCATAGAGCAGGACTGAGTAAGAATATGTAGGATCCCAGCAAACCTTTAAGGGACCAAACATACTTATTGCATGGTTTTTCTTCTGTCTCTGGAATGAAGAAGAGGAAGGATCAGGTTATTTCTTTGCACTGTGATTTATTCCATTTTATCTTCAGGATCACAAGTATGTGTTGCTTAAATTTATATAAAGCTAAAAGCACTTTTTAATTGTATAGTTCCCCTCTGCCAGTTCTTTGAGGTCATTTTATTCAGCATTGTCTAGGGAGACACTGCAAGGAGAAATTGCAATCTGTGTGGTAAAGAAATCCATAGACTTGGTATGACTGACTGTCAGATTGAATCTCAGCTGTGGTTATATCCTTCTAGTGAATAGAGCAGAAACAGAAATGAATTATTTGTCTCCAGAAATTGTCTTTCTGACTTTGCTTTTGGAGACAGTGGCATATGTACTAAGGCTGGAACAATTCTGCTTTGATTTGTCATCAAACACTTCGTATTGGACTTTGAAAGGGAAGGAAAATATTGTGTAATTCAAATGAGCTTTTCATTTAAAAACGAAAAGGCTCTTTGTATAGCTAGTGTTCCTAATTATTATCAGTAGATATTTCTTTGCTAAGATGTACACCATAATTTTATGACCTGAGAACTACTCAATATTTGCTTCAGTATCTATAAATCGTATTTTGATTTAATTTCCTACATTGTAGAAAGTATAACTAAATTATCTGTAGTCTTCTCTTAACTGGAAATTCTGGTAGAAGAAACCATGAAGTGGAAGCGTCTCATTTTATTGTCGTAAGGAAGGCTGAACTCGGAAAAAGGAGTTGTTTCAGGTCACACAGCTAGGTAGTGACAGAGCCAGGAAAGTCTCAAAGCTATTTATACCCAGATGAATCTCCTGTAACTATGATGTACTGTCCCTTCTCCTTTTTTTTTTTTTTCTGAGAAAAGGTCTCACTCTGTTGCCCAGCCTGGAGTGCAGTGGCACAGTCATAGCCCACTGCAGCCTCAAACTCTTGGGCTCAAGCAGTCTTCCCACCTCAGCCTCCCAAATAGCTAGGACTACAGGCACACGTACCACTGTACCTGCCTAATTCTTTTATTTTTATTTTTTGTAGAGATGAGGCTCTCTGTATGTTGCCCAGGCTATTCTACAACTACTGGCCTCGAATGATCCTCCTGCCTTGGCCTCCCAAAGTGCTGAGATTATAGGCATGAGCCACAGTGTCCAGCCTTTTCTTTGTTTTACAATTTCCAGCATCTGGCTTCTGCTCCTGCCTCACTACTGATGAACCAGTAATTCCTGAATTGCTAAATCCAATGGGCTTTATAATTCTTTCCTAGATCTCTCTGTGCATTTGACCCCATTGATACCTCCCTCCCTCTGAAAGTTGTCCATTCCCCTGGCTTCCACCGTACCATACCCTCTGGGTGGTCCTCTAATTATGCCTTTTCACCTCTTTCCTGGACTTCTCTTCTTCCTCTTCCCCTGGGTTCATCCTCAGCCTGTTGCTCTTGCCCTGTACACTTTCTCTCAGTACTCTCATCCACTGTCATGGTTTGCAGCTACTCAGACATTTTATTTGTAGCCCAGTCTTTTGTCTGCAGTTCAGACTCAAATATCCAACTGTTTGCCATATCCAACATGCACCCTCCAACCTAACATGTGCAAACTAACCTCATCATCATCCTCCTTAACCTGGTTCCCCATTCTATGCTCTCTGTCTCATTTTGTGGCACCACTGTCCACTCATTCATCCAAACTAGAAACTTAAGACTCACTTTTGGCTCTTTTTTGCCCACTTTTGTTTTCCATATCAAACCCAGTACCAGGAACTGCTAATTTTTCTTTCTTTTCTTTTCTTTTCTTTTTTTTTTTTTTTTTTTTTTTTTTAGTCTACTCTGTCACCCAGGTTGGAGTGCAGTGGCGTGATCTTGGCTCACTGCAAACTCTGCCTCCCAGGTTCACACCATTCTCCTGCCTCAGCCTCCTGAGTAGCTGGAACTACAGGCGCCCACCACCACGCCTGCTAATTTTTTCTGTTTTTAATAGAGACGGGGTTTCACCATGTTAGCCAGGATGGTTTCGATCTCCTGACCTCGTGGTCTGCCCCGCTCAGCCTCCCAAAGTGCTGGGATTAGGGAACTGCTAATTTTTCATGCTAAATATTTTGTGAATCCATCTGCAAGGCTCACAATCACTACCACTGTTGTAGTTGAGAACTACTGCTACTTCTGATATTTCATCTCTTGCTTGGACATCTGCACCATACAAATGACCTTTCTTCCATTAGCCTTGTCACCATGCAATCCACCTAACATACAACCCAAAGCAGACCTGCTGTGTGCAAGTTTAAAACCCTCTAGTGTTTCCCTACTCTGCCAGATAAAGTACAAAATATTCCTAAGCTAAATTCTAGCCTTAAATCTGCTCCTTCCTCCCTCTTTCTAGTCTTATCTCTAACAATTTCCTGTCTTGCACTTTGCTTTCCAGCTACATGCAACAGCTTGGAATTCTACACATGAACCATATTATTTCTTTGCACATACTGTCTACTTTGCCTCTAAGTCTCTTCTCACTCTTCTTTCCTGGCCCACTCCTACTTTTCCTTCAGTCAACACAAGTGTATCACCTCCTCCAAGAACCTTTCCCTTATGTGTCCTGTCCCCACCCCCATCCAGCTAACCTTAGCCTCATCAATACCCCGTACATAATCCAGTCATTATATTGATTATATCAGTATCCAGTTTGTGTTAACCTGAGCTATTCAGTCCATTGATAGCTGTTAGCAACTTATTTTCTTCAACTAAATTCAGACTTCCTTGAATAAGAATTTGGCGCAGAACTGGAATGATCTTTGTCTGTTCCACTGCTGATAATTGAGTCGTGAAGCTGTTCATGTAAGGATGCATTTATATATTTTTTTAACTTTTAATTTTTTTCTTTCGTTTCTTCTGAGGAAGAGCAAATGAGTCACAGATACAAGTATCTTTTATCTTTTCTTATGACATCCATACTTTATGTATATTTTACTCCAAAAAGAGGCTAAAATTAAAGAAGATGAAGTTATTGGCTTGCCTGGAGCATCATAGTGTCAAAGTGTCACAAGAATCTGTTTTCTGTTTCCAGAACAATCCTCTTACTATTTTATTACCTTCTTTCTCTGTGATTTTTTAAACATTTAAAGGTCTATTTTATGTTAGCTTTATTCAGTCACATACTAAGAACACGGATTTCCCAGGGTGGCCAGTTACCATGCCAAAGAAAGTCTTTTAAAAGCTTTATTTATCCACATTTCAGATATATTTTTTTCATATCGAGAAATAGCATGCTGAGCTTTGCTGTCCCCAAAAATACTACACATGCTATTTTCTCAGGAAGAAGAGTGAGGTTTATTTTTTGTTAATGAAATGCCAAACAAGCCTGGCTGATGTGCCAGGCAGAATTAAATTGGAGCGTCTTTGGCAGTAGTCTTCATTGTTCCATCCGTGCAAGTGTTTTATGAAAATTTAGCTGAAACATTTTTAAAAAATGTTTTGGCCAGATTCTTTTTAGAATAAAGTTGGGACATTCAGAAATTTGGGCAGTACTCATGATATTATAAATATTTCCAAGACTGACTAAATAAGCCCCATTGTGATCTTACTCATTTGATTCAGGCTGTTCTTTCCACATCCATCTCAAAATTTCAGCCCTTGGCCAACACGAACATGAATGTAGTGGCAAAGTTCAGATTTACAAACATTGTAAAGTTATTCTATTTTTAATTTAAATTCCCTCAACCTATGTTTTACAACACTGTTTATTCACTGTCTCTTTTTGTTCCTCCTAATATCAGAGAAGGAACAAACATACATGCCTTAAGGAATCCCTTTGGAAACCAAAGTTTCCCAAAAGCACACACCAAAATGGAAAATAGACAAAAAGTACATTCCAGGTTTTAAGTACATTGTCCAGTTTTTATTAACATCTTGGGGATTGGCAAACTTTTACTTAGCTAGTTTAGTGAGTATTTTAGTTTTTGTGGAGAATATGAGGTCTATTATGAATACTCATCTCTTCTGTGGTAGCTCAAAAGCAGTCAGAGACAATACCTAAAGAGAAGAGTGTGACTGTGTTCCAATAAACTTTATTGATACAAACAGGCAGCAGCCTGGGTTAGGCCACTGGTCATGGTTTGCCAGCCCTCCATGTAGCTTCCCATTACTCCTCATTACTTCCATTAGTAACTTTTTTTGTTTTGATTTTTGACATCATGGAAATAAATGTTTATGCTTTACTTCCATCACAAGTAAAATTGTAGGTTATATCAAAGACAAATGCAGGAATTTCTCAAAGATTAGAAAAAATTGATACTCTTTAAGATTTTTTCCCACATTTTTATTTATTTGTTTATGGGAGTGGTTAGTGCAGAGGAACCCAGAGGCCCCTCATGCCAAGCACCACCCAAGATTTTTTCTATTTTTGAAGTTCCCGCTTACACAACTGTAAGTTTCTTGAGGGGAGCAAATAGATGAGAATTTGTCTTATACTCTCACTATGACCAGGTGCATGGCTCATGGGACAGTCATATTTTCAAATGAATGAATGAATGACTAGGGCACTGTATGTTATTGTCAGTTTGATAATATTGTAGACAAAATATAAGACTTGAATTTTTAGTTTCTTGGCCCTTTGTGCTCTGTTATTTCAAAGCTTCCCATATTAGTTGCACAGATAAAGGGCTAAAGAACCACGTGGTTGATGATGGTGAAAGTGGGATGTGCTTTCACCTAAGCCCGTGTTCCGAAACAGCTACTCATGGAGGTTTTTGTGTAAGCATGTATAGATAGGTTTTTAAAAAGTAGGGTACAATTTTTATTTCTAGTGCTTTAAATCTGTCCAGTTAAAAACAAGAAGGAACATTCTTTTTGTGGTGAATGTGGGCTGAGAGCAAGATGGATTTACTAGTATTTTCTATTCCTTAGATTTGAGGTTAACATGAGCATAATGTCCTGGATGAAGCTTTGGAAGTACTTGTGAAGGGTAAGTGGCCGTAAGCCAGAAAAGATGCTATGTCCTTCAATTAAAAAATGTTTATTTTGCAGAACAATGTGACCAACAGAAATTGGTAGACTCGATGATTAAAAAAAGCTTGTAATTACACTCAGTGTTCTCTATGTGGAGGTGCTATGACGTATATCTCCTTCGTTTCTTTAAAAAATAATTGTAAAAATAATAGCTATATTGAAATTTAAATAGTGAAAAGGAACTGTACCTCCGCCCTCCCCAATTCTACTTCTTTTCCCAGAAGAACTATTAATTGATTTTTGTCATTTTACACTTTTTTCTTTAAGTACACTTGTCTTTGTGTGTATGTAAAGCCCAAGTGGGACGATATTATACTTAATGTTCTACAGGTTGCTTTTTGACCTAATATATGTAATGTATCATTCCATGCTAGCCAATGTAAACCTCCTTCATTCTCTTTATTACTGTACTGCCCTTTATATAACCATTTTATACATTCCTTTCTTTCTTCTTCAAGCACTATAGATGGTGCTTTGCTTATACGCTAAAGATACTTGTATTAGTTAATTAAGGAGATGGAAATAGCTCTTCTTGTGGTGGGGAAATTAATATCTACCTTTATTAATCTAGTTCTACTTTTAAGTGATTTATGAATGATTGTCGATGGCGTTGTAGAGTTTTATAGCCCTCTGCCAAATATGTCCTCAGTTCTTACAGTGATATATTTTTGTGTGAATGGGTGTGTCTATAGCAATACAACCATAAGAGCTATGCCTGCACATGCACGCTCACTCACATATGCAGATTTATTTATTTCAAGTAGACAGTTCCGATGGCCAAGCTCAGAACCGGAGATCATTCTGACATGTATCTGCCTTTTGTGACAATGACATCCTAACAGATATAGTGTGCAGATGCTGAGCTTTTAGAATATTCTACCATTCTACAATAATTGCTACATGCTTTTAGCCATATTAACAAGAGCATCTTTAGCTTCCTATGTGCCGAAACCTTTTTACTATTCAGAGACAGCTATTTTTAAAATTTCAGAATTTGCTTGCAGCCTTTTTCTCTGCAAGATCTTCCCATCTATTTCAACTGTGTCAAACTATGATAAAAACAGAAGAAAACAAGGATAGACTATACATGTCACTCACATTGGCTGAGACATAAGCCGAGAGAGCAAGAATTGGATGATGAAGGAATAAATGTATCATCATTTGGAAAAGAGTTCTTCTCTTTCAAGCTATATATAACTCTTCCATTGTAAACTGAGTAAGACTATTAATAGCAATAATTATAATAATACCTTAGACTTTTCTAGTGCCATATAATTTACAGAGTCTTCCTTAGCTTTTAATTCCTTTCATCTTTTTGACAGTCTCATCAATTAGTCAGCACAGAGCTTATTATTTCCTCTCTATTTCCCCTTTCTGCAGTTACTTCTTGCTGTTCTTTCCACACCTGGTGGATCAGGGTCAGGCATGTAGAAGGCTTCCAGCCTTGAACACTACCCACAAGGCATTATGTTTGGGCAAAATGCTTGGTGATATGTTAGAATGTGGACATTTGTGCTGAGGTTAACATCCCCTTAGGAGAATACAAATCATCAAAAAGCTCAGATCAGATAACTTAGAATGATTGAAGTCATGCTGCATTTTTGAAATAGAGACCTGTGACTATTAAAAATGGATAGCATGGATTAATTCCAAAGATTTATTCTCAGCTATACCGTAGAGTCATTTGCATTCCATCCATTTCTCTGGTAAATTAGCCACTGATAATCATAATTATGACCCTTAGGTACAATAAGACAATGAAATGCCTCCTGAATTATTAAAAAGTGTTAATTTATGTCTACTCTGTATGCAGTTTTTGAGTATTTTACTGCATTTCCACTCACTGAAAATTGGTTACCTATACATATGATAGATACATAAGATTAAATTTTACTCACAGTAATATTTCATTAGAAGAAATTCCTATTCCTAGTGTTGAGCAAGTGTGGTTATGTTATATACACATTTCCTCTAGATTTCTGTTTGATATACATGATCTTGACTGACTTGCTTGTTAGCTTTAGGTAATTACTTAAGAAAAATAATGCCAAGCATCTGCCTGATAATTTGTTATGAGCCAACATTGTCACATACATTAATTTATTTATTATATGAGCCCCCAAAGGCATTATTACCAGTATTTTATAAAATAAGCCTCAGGAAGCATAAGTGGTTTGCTCAAAGCTACATAGCTAATAAGTGGCAAAGAGGAGACACAGGTCCATCTGTCCAAGTCAAGAACTTTTTCCATCAAGGCGCAGCCATGTTGGAAACTACCCTCCTAGCATTTACGTCAGGGCGTTTCAGCAAGCCTTGGGCCTCTCCACATGTAGGCCCACCTGGCAGTGTTTCTTTTTAGAGCTTGTCCAAGCAGGTAATATCAGCCAACAAGCCAGAGATCCAGAAAACTTGTAATCCTGATTATCTGTGCAAAGGGATAATGTTTTCCATAATACATTGCATTCCATCAACTTGGAGAGAGGTACACAGAATGCATCCTTTTGTAGAGGCTGCTTTATTTATTCTACAAGCCAGACCATGATAGAGTAGTACTCTTTGTAATAGCCTTTTACCATAGGTAAGAATGGTAAGCTTTGAAAAAAAATACAGGTATAGACATTCTCCATTTACCTTGGATACAAAACAAGTTTTCTGCCTTTGTCTGATAAAAACAACAGGCAGTGCCCACTCTAAAAAGGCAATGTGAAATAAGAGAGAACTCTGAATGGGCTTAATAATCACCTCCTGCTTTTTAAAAAAAATTCTAATCAGAAATCTGTTTTTAAACAAGCTGCCCTAATGTGAATAAGTGACATAGCAAAGTCATTACCTTGACATCCTCCTATGAAAAGCAGCAAAAGAAGGTGGGGGCCATCTTTGAGGAAGAAAGACCTTTCCCATTAATATTAAATAATTATTTGTAAGAAACAAATGATGTCTGAAGGTAGGTCTGATCTAGAGAAATTGGAAACATTAGAGCAGGTTTCAACTTTTTCATGAGATATTACTGATACTGAATGTAAATTTCCAACCAGAATAAAGCTGATAACAAAGCAATACTACATTCATTCATTCTGGAATATTAAAGAGAAAAGGCTTCTGTATATATTAACCCACTTATAATTATTTCTGACATGTTGAGTGTACTGGAGACAGAGAGAATAGAGGGTGATTGGGAGAAACGAATTTTTAATGGGATGTCAGTCTTCAAAGATTTGAATGAGTCATCCCAGAAATGATCATTCTTTAAGTATGACATTGCCACTTAATAAACGAACAGAGAAAATATTGAAAGGAATTCTGTCAACATTCTGGAACGACTGTAATTTTGCACAATCAAGCAAAATGACAAGATCAAGCTTGATGTCATGCTATATGACTTGTAATTCTGTGAAATTATAAAACTTATAAACAAAAGGGAATGAGAAATGTGTAGCATTGACGTGGGAGCAGCAGGGAGATGAGGAGCTTGAGATTCCAGTTCTGTCCCCTCTGACCTTGCTGATATGCAAATTTTTTCATTATATAAAAAATAGCAGGGGTGAAACAATCAAGGTTTCCTAAGAAAAGAATTTCCAGTTTCACCACAGAAAAGATAAGTTTTGCATTTGGAACATCTGAGAGCATCTGAAGTGTTGTCTCATTAAAATTTATGATCATCAGAATTAATTCACATTCATTTCTTTAAGAACCAAATCACCTGGGTTGGATTTGTGTGTGGAATCATAAGAAAAGGATAATGAGAAATGACAGCAGGTCTATGGAGTAGCCAACGAGAGACACTGGGTAGATGTGACCTTTTTTAAACTTTCCATTTGATATTTGGAGATTATTTGTTAGACTTCATATATGATATGAAATAAGGAGTATCCTTTCTAAAACTTAAAAGGTCTAAATGTCTTTAAAAGAGACCTAAACATGCAACTAAAAGAAAAATGAAACTGCCACAGAAAATAATAATTTTGTAGTTTGTTCAGAAAATCTGAAAAACACATTTGATGGACCTCGAGCAGCTGGGGTGGAGGGAGTGGGGCATTGAGTAGCAGCAGAAACAGCTGCAGCTAATAATGTTTGTTGAAGATACTGGAGATAACGCTGTGACTGACACTGTGCTTAACATAGAAAGTCTGAACATTATATAACTTCCCCACATAGTTACTGCAACAGTCCATTCCCTTTGCTAGGGAAGCCTCATCCTCTCCAGTGAAACCAGGTTACCTTGTTTAGCTCCTCAGTCTTTGTTCTTCACATCCCCCTGGTTGTCTGTGCCAATAATTCACGGTTGAGGTTGCTGACATCTCTTGCCAGTAGAAGTCATGTGTGTCTTTCCCTGTGTTTCCATTTTCCTTCTAATCAGTTAATTGCTGTGAAGAATTTATTTCTTCTCTAACACTTCAGCTGTCTCCTTTTACCCCCACTGGTTCTAATTCTAAAACTACTGCTCACTCTGTGAGACTTTCGGCAGAAGGCTGTCTCTGGGACATGCCGTCCCCATCTAGAGACCTGGAGACTGATGATTGCTGAGATCCCATTTCAGAATGAGAGTTTTCTGGCCAGGTGCAGTGGCTCACACCTGTAATCCAGCACTTTGGGAGGCTGAAGCGGGTGCATCACCTGAGGTCAGGAGTTTGAGATCAGCCTGGCTAACATGGTGAAACACCATCTCTATTAAAAATAAAAAAATTAGCTGGTGGTGCATGCCTGTGATCCCAGCTACTCAGAAGACTGAAGCAGGAGAATCGCTTGAACCTGGGAGGCAGAGGTTGCAGCGAGGAACCTAGGTGGGGCAGTTAGGATTCACATTGAGACACATTGATTGTGCCTTGTTTTCAGTCTACTCTCTTTGTCCCTGATGAAGCTACACACCAACCCCTTTACTCAAAACTTTAATTCTTGATCAAGCCACTATCTATATACATCAAAACTTTCTTTCTTTGAGGATTGCCAAAGAATATCTGGTCCCTGAGGTACTGGGAAACGAGGCAAAGGTGTCTCTCTTCACTGCTAGCTCCTTGGGGACCAGCAAACGGCTCTCAAGTTCCACGGTGGCCAAACTGGAAAAAGGCAGTTCAGTGCATCCTGGGAATATCCAGGCGAAAGTGTGAGATTTACCTAGAATAGCTTCTGGGCCTCTGGGGTTTTCACACTGTCTCTGGTGAAGGTGTCCATTTTAGAATTGAAGCAAAAAGGTTTCAATCCATTCCGTTTTCTTTGTATAGCATTTACCCAATACCTCCATGCAAGTGGGCACTCAGTAATTAATTTTCTCCTAGTCCTTGCATTACGCTTTCTTTGGGATGGAAATTTCTATTTTCTGCTCCAGAGTAGCCATGTCTAACTCATCCATGTCTAACTGACCTCAAAGAGTTGGGACTTAAACATCAGCCTAAGCACTCAGATTATCGAGAAGTGTGCATAGAAAATGGACAAACTGAAGATATGGACAATTCTACTGATGTTTACTTGCACAATTGTTAAAATTGCATCACTGCCATCAAGGTCAATTTGACTTAAGTAACTCTACTTAGAAATATGAATTATGATATAAAAACAATTAAGCAAGCAATACTTTTATGTTATTTAAAACCTTGCTGTATAGGAAAAGCTACTTTTAGGCCAGCCGCAATGGCTCACACCTATAATTCCAGCGCTTTGGGAAGCTGAGGTGGGAATATCGCTTGATCTCAGGAGTTTGAGAGCAGCCTGGGCAACATAGCGAGACCTCATCTCTACTAAAAATACAAAAAATTAGCCGGGCGTGGTGGCATGCACCTGTAGTCCCAGCTACTTAGGAGGCTGAGGCAGGAGGACACCTTGAGCCCAGGAGGTTAAGGCTACAGTGAGCTGTGATCATGCCGCTGTACTCCAGCCTGGATGACATAGAGAGGCCTGTCTCAAGAAAAAAAGAAAAGAAAAAAAGACTACTTTTAGTTTGTTAGGTGATAACATTGTAAACTCCAATGACTTTTTAGGTGGTCTGTCACAATCTGTAATTTGTCTATGTTCTTGAAAATAGGGGGAATAAAATTATTTGTGAAAATATGTCTCAGTGAATTTTTAAAGTCAAATTGTCTCTGTGATGAAAGGATTTCCTGTGAGAACAACCAATTTTTCTTAAATCTGTGTTAATACTTTCACACTACAATGTCAAATTTTAATTTTTAACGCTTAGTTGCAACTGAAGGCTAGTCTATATAAACCAAATATAATAATAACAATAGCTCATATTTATCAAATGCTTGCTATGTGTCATGCACTGGGGTAAGCATTTTATATGGATTAATTTATTTAATCTTCACAATACTAAACTGTAGTACTATTTTCATTCCCATTTTAGATAATGGAACTAAGTCATAAAGAAATAAAACAACTTATCTAACCTGGAATAAGTAGCATCAGGATTTGACCTCAGTAGGCCTGATCCCATGAGGTTACATTTAGGTACAAGCTCTACTCTTAGACCCAATTTAATCATTTTTATTCTTACAGTTCCTTTCTTATGTGACATTTTTCACATTTACAAATATCTTAAAATGTAAGTGTTGAAAGGTGTAAAGGAAATCCTGAATGAGATTTAGAAGAATGAATGAGTGAGAAATAGAAGAATGAGCCTGTCGGACGGACAGAGTAGTTTACAGAGTAAAGTCCTAGTTCCAGGCATGTTAATTCCACTCATATAGGAAGGAAAGAGCCAATGTAAAAACACCACCTTTTAATTTAAATCTGTATGCATAATGATATGCCAGTTTCATCACTGTGGCTAGGCCAAGCATGGCACCATCTAAGAAAGTACAGACACTGGAGCCAGACTGCGCAGATTCAAATCCATCTCTACCATTTACTATGTGATCCAGGGCAAGTTACTTGCTGTCTCTGTAATCCCGTTTCCTCATCTGTTAAATTGGGCTAACAGCATCTGTCTTACAGGGTTGTTGGGGGATTAAATGAGTTTCTATACACAAAGCATTTAGGACAGTACCTGGGCCATAGTCAAGTACCATAAGGATGCTTGCTATTTCATTATCATTACCAGCACCAGCACCAGCACCACCACCACCACTACCATCATCATTATCATCAATATGTGACTAAAACATGTTTGGCAGCAATTATATTTATATTTATATTTAGACATTATCAGGGCTTTCATATAGAAAAAGAAGATATAAAATTCAACTGATCTTAGATGAACTTTGCTAAACAAGGCAATTAGAGCAACTAGATTTCTTTTATTTTATAATCTGAGTGACACTTTAAAAAATTGATCAGCCAGATGTTGTCATGACTTCATCTGAAGTTGGAAGTTTGCACCCAGCAAAAGGGGATTTGATGTATAAATTGCATGACTATCAAACTGAAACAGAGTGACTGAACACTTATCTTGAAAATCTGAAGTTAGCATTGGCAAAAAAAGAAAAGTAATGAGCTACTCCCATTTGCAAAGTCCAAGTGATTATGGAAAATGGGTTTGCATTTGGCCTAATTAATTTATTTTGGAGTGATATTGATAGAAGTAAGTGTACCTCGTGGATAACAGTTCTGATAGATTCCCACACAGTTAAACCTTTGCTTCTGCTTTCTTCAATGAATCGAAATGCATGCACTCTGAAGCCCTCTGACAGCATTCACAGGGGTGAAACAGGCTTTATTCCTCCAATGCAATTTAGTCCAACTCTGCAGCTCACCTGTGGGGAAGGCTGGCAAAATTCCAAAGGTGATTAGTGTCGTTTCTATTATTTCACAGGGTGGAGTGTGTTTGGATGGATGGAAGGGAAAGCCTATAATTTCATGGCTGTTAGTAGAACATTTCTGCTACACCACTTTTTATCTAAAACGTTCAAGATGAGTCAAGGGCACGGTATTGTCACCAGAATCGAATGCACCCATAGATGTTACTAAATCTTAACTGATCAAGTCATAAAAATGTAAATGTTTCCTCCAAAACGTTGATTACCTTTTAACTCATTTGTGTGTGTGTGTGTGTGTGTGTGTGTGTGATCAAAATCATCTTTTTAATTATTTAAACTCTGTGGATTTCTCTGTTAATATAAGATTAGCATTGCGAGCTTAACCTGGACCAGTTAGGAAAAGGTATTGAAATTGCATTTTAAAATTGTGCCACCACTGTCTTGTTTAGGAAGAATAACTTGGGTAAAACCAAATGTTGAGTTATCAAGTATTTTGGTACCCATATTCATCATCTGCTGTAAATGTAAGCATCTTCTCATTCTTATAGATTCTTTGAATTACATTCTAAATGACTACCATGTCAATAGATTAGAACAACAATCATGTCATGCTTTTTTGTTGTCATGGGTCATTTTCATCAAATGTTCAGTAATTTCATTGCACTGTGTAATTAGGTGAAGAAACTCCACCCAAGCGTCCATGGGTCAGCTATGTGGACTCTAGCTGCCAAAGGCGCTTCTCCTTCTGAACAGAGCGCTTTGCTCAGCCAGTGTAGACATGGCCTGATAAACAATGGAACTTCTCCCTTGCGAACTGGAGTTTGGATTGATCTAATTCTTTAACTCAAAAATGTACATAGGTTTGATGTGTGGTTAAAATGCCTGCCTTTTAGTGAAACGAGAGCTTAAATTGACAGTACTGTGAAGAATTCTGTAATTTATAATGAACTCGAAAGGCAGTAGCATTCACTGTTGCAAAAGCTAATCAAGGGACTATCAAATCAAAGTTTTCACATGAGTTTAAATATCTGTGGCAGGGAGGTTGTTCATGCAGATTTTTATCTGTCAGGTCTTAACACTAAACCTGCCAGAGTGCAACATGGTCCTGTCACTTTTAACCAAGATGTCACATATATTGTGGGAAACACACTGCTCTGCATTTTTTCTAGGATTTTACTGGGAAAAGCAAATGTAAAATAAAGTTTTTTGTTGTTGTTGTTTGCTTGTTTTTTTTTTTTTTTTAAACACCGCATTTTTATTTTGCAGATTCTCAGGATGATGGAGTGAGTGATGGAATAGGTTGCCAACTGTAGTTACTCCACTCAGCGCAGAATGGCTGCGGGGAAATATAATCAGACATGCCCAAAGAAGTCTGCTTAGGGTGAAACAAATACCTTTGAGGTTTAAATCAGGTGTGTAAAGAATATTGCGAACAAGATTTGTTTTTTGTTTTTTGTTTTTTTTTTTTTGCATTTGTGTTTGTCAAGAAAAGTAGAAAGGCTGATGCTTCTTGCCTGTTTTTCCAACTCTTTTAATGCTACAAAATACACCCCAAATTTAACCCATTTTCTCTCCTAGGATTTGATATACTCTATTTACTCCCTTGAAGGTCCTCTATCTCATCAAAACTTTAGATTTTAAAAGCATGACGGTAGATTTTTATATTCAAAAATATTTTGATTTTGGAGATATTTTAAAATTGGGAATTGAACTCAGATAGGCTTTACCATTTGTCTATTTCCTTAGAAGAATAAATACTATTTACAGTATAGGAGTTAGCTGCCAGAAACCTAAGAAAGTTATGTTCAAATTATTTTTACAAATAGATGTTCACATCACCTTTAAACAGTTGTTAAATGGCTCAGAAAAATCAAGCAAAGTTAACATTTTTTTAAAAATGCAAACCACATTTCTTTACAGGATGAGGTTGTGCTTAATAACCTATGCTTAATTCATTCAGAAACTACACGATTTTTGTTGCTATATTTTGTTAGAAAGGAAGGAGAGACTGTTTCTACAGGTGTCATAGAAAAATCAATACTGAGCCAAGGATTATTGGATCCCATAGAACCATGGAGGCGTGGCAGTGAAATTCTCCCAAAGGTGAGTAGGGGCATTGATTTCCCTTCCATGCCTGCAGAAATATGACACAATGAACAGAGGCTAAATTTGGACAGGAAATAAGTCTGATTTGAAACTGTACTGTAAAAAAAATAGTGATACCTTTTTTTCAAACAAATAAATGAGAAAATGTAAGTAGAATTTCAACATATGCATTTTTCTTATTTATTTTCTTAGATTCTTTTCTTTATCCTCTTGAGTACTTTTGAAAAATAAACCCCCAAAACTGGACTCCTTTACTGATATTTTATCTGTAAGTCAGATCCTATGATTTCCACGTGGAATACTTGCATTATATGATATAAAAGAGTCTCTCTCAAACCTATAACCAAGAATGCAGCAACCCATCAGTTTCTAAAAAAAACATATTATCTACATAATCGCAATCACACTTACAGATATGAGCCCATCACTAACCTTCCTTATTTAAGCTATGTATTTTTCTAGCTAATTTGTGCTATGATTTTTAGACACAAACTTGCTTGTTTACATATTTTACAGTTTCTTCTTTGTTTAGATTTCTTAAAGCTAAAAAACTATACATAACATATTGGTTGTTTGACTGCATTGCTTAGCATTCCATCCGTGCAGGCAGACGGTGTTCCTAGGTTTGGAAATATAAATCCCATGGGAAGTCAGCTGAAGAACATTTTATGCATCACTTATCCTGTTACGAGCCCTGTGCTGTTCTGTCTCTCTATAAGGTAAGAGATTTATTGTGAGTTGGCTTCCAGAATTAGAAAATGTTGTATGCTAATGGATGTTGCTTCAAAGTGGCTTCTGGAGCTCATATAGAAATTGTTTTATAAGCAAAAGAATAATTGGAACAATTCAAGTTACACACACACGCATGTTCATCTGTCCCCAGGTAGCATTTGGTTGTTCTATCCTGGGATCCACATTCTATAATATTATCTTTCTCATGTGAAGTGAGATGGTAAATTGTTCATTTTTATAATGAATTTGAGCAGAGTAGAAGATTAAGGAAAATAATTTAGGCCTCAAAGTAGAAAATTGACAAATTACCATCTTGCTTTGTCTGGGATAGATATACTTTGAGTTTTAGTAATTTGTGGGATCAAAAATGTATTATAAGAAAATTAAGCCAGGTGCAGTGACTCACACCTGTAATCCCAGCTACTTGGGAGGCTGAGGCTGGAGGACCCCTTGAGCCCAGGAGTTTGAGGCTGCAGTGAGCTATGATTGTGCCACTATACTCCAGCCTGGGTAGCAGAGACCACATCGCTATAAATAAAATAACATTAAAAGATAGTTAAAATATAAAATGCTAGCACATTCACAGTAATATAGAAACCTTAGTATTTTTTTTAGATTTTTGCTTTCTGCTGACCAATCAAAAATTCTAACTTTTTTTCTTATTCTGAACTTTCAGACTGGCTGAAACCACAACGGTTGTTTGCAATCTGCACTCTAACTTTGGATCACCTAGTTAATATTCTGACTCTGATTATTACCAAAGACAATATTCTGTAAAAGATATTCTCTATAAGAAGGATGCTCCTGCATTATTAATAACATCACAGGGAAAATGCAACATTTTGGATGTCACATCTGATAAGGTGAGATTTTATCATGTCTCATAAGATGTGATTTCATATGATTGTACTTATGACTATCCCAGCCCCATGAAAGTTTTCATTTATCCATTCGGTGTAGAAATCTATAATATAAAGCTTCATATACAGTTATTTAAACTGTGACCTAAAAGCCAGGCTATTGAATATATTTTGTTTATGTGTAAGTCACATTATTTTTACTGTTTTTTTCTATCCTTTGCATCTTAGAAAAATATGACTCAGTACACCATACAGCATATTTAAATTAAAATATAAATTGTGTACATCATTATTCTTATGTGGGGGGGGGGAGGCTGGGAAAGGCATGCTATTCTGTAACCTTGGACAAAATTTGACTTTTGATGTGTGAATTCTTAAATGTGCACAAACCAAAGACAATGGCATACATACTTTGACACGTTCTGAAGTTAAAAGAGGACATGAGGATTGTATGATAAGTGGCAGCCTTGTGTCTACTATTGTAATAATATAATGTCTGCATGAGAAGAAAAAAAGTACAAATAACAATGGCAAGATGATGGAGAAGCTGACCACAAGTAAAATTCCAGGTACCTGTTGATGCAATATGAGGATACTAAAATATGTAGCCCTCTATGTATGCTGTATATCCTGTAATCCATCAGAATGGAGGCACTGTCTTCAAGTCCAAAAATATCAGTGTGTTCAACACTGCTACCCTGTATGCTATATTAAAATCTCTCATAATATGTAAAATATATATTATCCATGTCTGAGCAATGTGATATAGCCATTCTCTCTTTGGGTTAAGCATATCTTATGATTTTCTTAAAATGTCGCGAAGATAAGCATCTACTAGATAATTTGTGATTTGTAAATATCATGACTGTCTGAGGGGAAGTGGCAATTAATGGAAGCATAATTATCTTCAATGTGAAGAAGGTCTGGGATGCTGACTTTGGGGAACACAGTGTCTTTGGCTCCTTAGCATTTTCTTGATTTGCTTTGTTGTCGTCCTTCTGGTTCTTTCTGGATCCATCTCTCTTTTGTTTCCATTTGAATCCTCTATTGTATTCCAGTTGGCAGTTAAAGAACAGAAACACAGCAATAAGACTGAGTGGCTACATTTTCCCAGTGCCACCAACTGGGAGTTAAGCTGACTAACATTTTGAAAGCCCAGCCCATTTCTTTCACAGCAGGATGGCAGGTAAAAGCATTTCTGTATTAAAGTACACACTTTGTTTCTTCAGGTTCTTGGTCTAATTTCTCTTGTTTGCCAGTTGGGGGGAGAAATGAAAGTAGGTTGGGGATGAAATGCCTGGGGTATTTAATCAAATGCCCAGCAACTCCTGATTATAGGATGCAAAAATTTCACTTTCGAGGATTAATTATGGTGGATTTTTTTCAACCCAAATGGGTGTACCCTTCTCTCCAGCATGTTTTGGGGCTACTTTCTACCACTGCCAAAATAGAATGTAGTAGAAGAATTCCAAGTAGTTTTAATAATAACTCCTGGGTTATTAAAAATTAAATATCTGGGGTAAAAAAAATCCCATTAAATGTACATGTTCGTGAAGTACCTCAAAACATTTTGTTTTACAAAATTTTACATGTCATTATTTGCTCCTACTAGAACAAGAAATTGAGAATGGGTTTCACAGTGTTCTATTAATTTGATTACTGTGTCCTAAGTGGTAAGTATAAACCTCCTTGTGTATTTTGTGAAGCTCACTTAATCAAGCAAATATTAAAAAGCACATTATCATATTACTATGCTGATCCTTGATCTTTTGGCTTGTCACTGTCTTGTGTTGGATGTCTTTTTCTCATGTGCATGCAGATGAAGCTTGGGGACAGAAAGAGTGAGGAAAAGCATTAGCCCTGCTCCCTGAATAGTAATGGGCTGTGGAATTGTCTTTTGGGAGGGGATTTCCCCTGGGAACAGTGAAATTGGGATGAATATTATCAGTTTGCATTGACATTGAATGCATTTTTAAGGAAGCTTAGATCACTTTATAAGAGTCATCTTGGATGGGTGAATGCAATACACAGTTGCAGTAGGAAGACTAAAGTTCTGAGATGGGTCAGATGACAGTGATAATATCATAACTCATTTTATGAATGAATCAAAAAGTTCCTCAGCTAGTGCCCACATACTCATATATTGAAATAAATTTTACAAAGCCTCTTCTTTCCCTGGAGTCTGCACATGCGCCATCTTACCATGGAATATAAACCTGCTTTGCCTGGTTTTATATTCTATGACCATCCTGTAGATATTTCTTATCAGATTAGATCAAGAGTTAACAGAGAGTACAGTGGAAAAGTAAAATAACATTTTCAAAGTTTTAGCAAGAAAAATATGAATAATTAAATATGAATGCATGTGCATGTTATGACTGTACCTAGGATCTTTTCAAGGGCTTGAGGTCCCTCTGTCTCAGTAATTAGACGAATTCTGTAGCCAGTTTGGCCTCAACCTGACAAAGATTTTCTATTTATAAATGTCCTTTGGGTCCATGAGGAATTTTGGACACTCATTTATTTTCTAAAGAGAGGTTCAAAATCAATAAGTTCAAAATATTTCAAAGTTGCCATGCACTTCTCTGTTTAAGTATAGCAGCATTGCCATGGATATAACCAAAATCATTCAGATGCTGAACAGGGCAACTCCATGGCACTCTGGTACACTAAATTACCCTCTCATTGTCTAATAACATGAGGCCTTTACATTTGTTTAGTGCTTTCTGGTTTTCAAAACCCTTTCCCAAGATAGTCATGAATGAGGATAAAATTTAGAGAGGTAGGGCACAAGGATGTTTTTTTTTTTTTTTGCATTTCTTTTTCTAACTTGTTAAATGAAAAATGCTAGAGAATAAAATGTGTTTTGTTTTTTAATCAAAGAAACACATACAATGTGAATTAGAGCATTATTGTCATGGTGAGGAGAAGGGAAAGGAGGCAGTCACCCTTCAGCTACTGTGGTTTGTAGGGATCCACTATGCTATGTTAATAAGTTTACAGCTCAAAAGAAGGCTGTACCATTTCTCTCTAATGTGACATAAAGTTAACAGACCCCTTGAACAGATATGTCTTTAAATATGAAGATCAGTGATCCATGGTTCAGGTCAAATACCTGCTCACACATACTTACTGAGCATACTAGTCCAAATTTTTCAATGAAGTAATAATACAAATAGAGGGGGGGAGAGAACAAGGACTCCTTGGGTCTAGGGGTGTTTCCCCAAGCAAGTTTCAAGCAAAACCATTTTTAATTGGAAGCTTTGTGATTTAGCTTAGAAATTCACTCTATTCTGTTATGATTATTTTACTATTTTTAGAAGTTTTAATAATAAGGGGCTTTGGCTTCCTTGCTACGGGAATCTAGAATATTGATGTATGTATGAATGTGGGTAATATGATGAAAATATTACCACTTAAGTTTGATGCACAAATATGGTGGTTGAACCAGAATTGGACCGGTTCGCATTCCTGCTCTACCACTTATTAGCTGTATAAACAGTGTCTAAACCCGCTTCTTCACCTACAAAATGAGGAAAGTAAAGGAAAGTAATCATACCCATCCCCAGAGTGGTTGTAAAGATTAAACAGGATAATGAATATAAAGCCTATGTTAAGAGGTTGATGAGTCTTAGCAATGATCTTTAATATTGTTGTTATTTATTGCCTGTCTTTGCACGTATACACATATCCTCTATATACGGTTTTTCTGTATTCATTATGATTCAAAAAATGTTGCCTAAAATTACCTAATAAAAATATTAAAGAAAATTGTGTCAGGCAATCGTGGTAACTACAGAAACTGGGAAAAACGTGAAAAGGCAATACCTTCCGTCAGCATTACCAGCCTTTCTTGAGAAGGTACACTCCCTCCTTATTTGCTCTGTCTGTTTTTCTCTACTGCTAAGACCTCCTTTCAATAAGGACCTGAAATTCATCCACACAAAGATCTAGATGATTGAGAACATTTGAGGTGCTGCCCTTGTGAAGGTCACTGACCTCTTATTAAGGGTCAGATACTAAGTTGACGAGGTTTCAGGCATCGGTAGCAGCTGGAGACATTTGTTTGACAGTGTGATCTACCCCTTGCCTTCAGGAGCTCTCCTCAGAGTGGTAATGGTTAAGTGGGCCAACAGGTAAGGTTAGTTCTGCTGCTGAAGGTGCCTGCTGGGGCTCTCTATGGGGTTTGTCTGACATCCTCAAAGGCTACCTCTGTCTCTAAGCCTAGGGCCATTTAGGAATGTCTGTCAGCTTTTTCAATTTTTTTTTCTTTTCTCCCATTTATATCTGTGGGTTTTATATCTAGTTATACCTTAAACACAACTGTAATCCTTTGAACCTTTTTTCCTAATATTCTTTATTTTTGGATATACATCAATTGTTTTTTTTTTTCTATCCACATCCCATCCATATTCTCATTCTTGGCTGTCCATTGTATTTCTTTCAGAGATCTGTATTCATAATTTAAAGTGTTTCACATATCTGACTATTTTTCTGAGACAGTCTCCTGAAATACTCTTTTTTAAAATGTAACTTGTTTCACCTGTATTTTCTGTACCCATATTTTGGGATTTGAATGATTGCGTTGAAGTTTAAGGTATGCCTTCACTAGGAATGTATGCTTAGAAAACCATTTAATTTCTCAGCTGAGTTTATCAGAGGTAGAAATAGAAGACTCTGCCCATAGTATTATAAAAATCAAATCAGATCAAAGTGTTTTGTAAACTCTAAAATGATGTAGAGGTTTTTATGTTTTCTTCTTTTTCTTTTCTTTTTTTTTGGAGACAGAGTCTCACTCTATTGCCCAGCACAGTCTTGGCTTACTGCAGCTTCCACCTCCCAGGTTCAAGCAACTCTCCTTCCTCAGCCTCCCGAGTAGCTGGGATTACAGGTGTACAACACCACTCCTGGCTAATTTTTGTATTTTTGTAGAGACAAGATTTCACCATGTTGGCCAGGCTGGTTTTGAACTCCTGACCTTGGTGATCTGCCTGCCGTGGCCTCCCAAAGTGTTGGAATTACAGGCGTGAGTCATCATGCCTGGCCTATGTCTTCTTTTTACTTATTACAGCTAGCCCCTCATGCATGTTTTTAAAAAGATAGGCATGAAGAGACACATCATGTTTAATAATTTGTGAAAGAAGTGATAGGATGATCTCTCTTTTGACATTTTTCCCCATTACCTGAAAGAACTATTCTGTGCATTCCTATGATATGGCTGTCAATTGCCTTCTCCCAGCATTATATAATTCAGCACAGAGAGGAGAATTTTCTCAGATGTAAATGTAAGAGAAGAAACTTCTGCTGGTAAACAGAAGCAGCCTCTGTTTCTCAAAGGGTTCAGATCCTTTTTGAGAACATCAGTCATGGATTCATGAGCATCAGTCCATGATTCATGGACTGAAATCAGGAGGCACGAGTGCTTCAGGATCCTATACACAAATGAGGGATGATACAATTTAATATTTATCGAGGAGATACTATGCATAAGACACTTCAAATAATAATGACTGCTGACTTGAGGTTTTTGCTAGACACTGCATAGGCACTGAACTACAGATTTTATCCAAGTTATTTGATCCTTAAACCTCTCAGTGATACTGGGGTTATTACATCTACTTAACAGTTGAGGAAACTGAGGGTCGTCTGACACCAAAGCCAATATTTATTGGATTTTCCCCCAGGATCCTGAGATGCAGATATTATGATGTTCATTTTGCAGCTAGAGCCATTGGGACACAGAGTGTTTTAGTAACTTGTCCACATAGCTCTATGTGGAAGAGCTGCAATCCCAATCAGGTCGGCCTGACCCTAAACACTCCACTGCACTAACTTGCTGAATATTTCTAATCTTGGGAAGAATCTTTCTTTTAGTTTTCTTTAAATTAACAATCACCTATGGGTTGACACTTTCATAAGATAGAATACAACTGAATTACTAGAAAAATAAAATTAAAACCCAGACATACAAAACAGAAACTCAATTTTCTATTATTAGATTCAACAAACATAAAATTACTCTGCCACTTTGCTGTAGGTGTTTCTAAATGATTGCTCACAATGTCTGTGCCTATTTTGTGGTGGACCAGTAACAAAACTGCTGGACTCAGCAGCCAGCCACAGACGAGACTTTGAGAAGCACTTGTCTAGGACTGTGGAATATGACCTAGCTGAAGATAAGTCGATATCCTTATTCATTAGCAGAAGTCTTCTGGGCATGGATTTAATTTCAATATTTACCAGTAAGGCCTTGGATAATACCCAGGTAGGAAATAGACTAAAACACAGTTAAACGTTAAAAGTCATTGCCCCTACTTTTTGTGCTTTTTTATCTAGGGAAAGTTAAATGGAATGTCTTAACAATATACCCACAGGAATTAAATTAATTTTGTGTGGAATATGTATTTGAAGGCCTACTGTCTTGTAACCTACATAACTGAGAAATGTAGACCATTGTAAATTAGCTTATTTGATAAAAAAGGTATACTACTATATTGCAGGTATATTACTTTTTCTCCAGAGGACAGACTCACTGTTGTGTTGATTAATTAACATTCTCACCCACTGTATCCAAGTAGGTTACAGAAATTAAAACGTGCAGGATGACAAAGCCAGAAAAGCAAACATTTCTGGTTAGTTCCCACAGTGACACTATAGAAATGCTTGTCACCTG